GCATTATGGTATCCCAGAACGTTTGCACAGTGACCAAGGCCCTGACTTTGAATCCAGAATCATCCGAGAGCTTTGTGAGATGGCTGGGATCCACAAAGTAAGGACTACTCCATACCACCCAAGAAGCAATCCTGTTGAACGGTTTAACTGAACATTACTGGATATGCTAGGAACGCTGACAGCTCAACAGAAATCTCATTGGAAAGATTTTGTAAAACCTCTGGTGCATGCCTACAATTGCACCAAAAATCACGTTACAGGTTTCTCACCGTATGAGCTTATGTTTGGCCGCCAACCTCGCTTACCGGTGGACTTAGCCTTTGGACTACCACTTGTCAGAGAAGGAGCAACATCCCACACACAATATGTGGAAAAACTAAAATCCCACCTGGAAGAAAGTTACAAGCTGGCCATCGAAAACTCAGAAAAGGTGATGAAACGGAATAAAACCAGATTTGATAAAAACGTCACTGCATCACAGCTGAATGTTGGAGACAGAGTTCTTGTGAGGAACGTGCGGGTAAGAGGCAAACACAAGCTTGCAGACAAATGGGAGTCATCTGTGTACATTGTAGTGAAGAAAGCCGGCACTCTTCCTGTGTATACAGTTCGACCCGAAGGCCAAGACAAGCCCCTGAGAACTTTACATCGAGATCTCCTACTGCCCTGTGGGTATTTGCCACCTTCTCCTTCTGAAAAGGAAATGCTTAATAAGCGGAAGAGAGACATGCCTGTCTTGCCTGTGTCTCCTGTGCATGCTGATGATGATGACCCTGACGAGGAAGAACTCATCTCATACCTACTTGTTCCTTTCTCTGCTGAACCTGTCACCTTCACATCAACCATTGACTTATCCAATACTCCGCCACCTTTTCCAGTTACCAGCCAGACAGATGTCCCTGTAGCATTGGCTGTCCCTGTAGCATTGGCTACAGAGGAAGAGATCTCTATTCTCTCAGAGGGACCTCTACCTGTACCTGTTGAAGAGGAACGAGTTATTGAAAATGAAACTATGGGGGCTGGCTTTGCGCCAGTTGCTCTTGCAGACACCTCTCACGATGACAGATGTCTATCTTCTGATCCGGTTGCACAAGACGCATCCAGCCTTGACTTGTCACAAGACTCACCAACTAAGTCAGACTCTCTGAGTCCTGAGGCGGAACCACCCTTGAGGCACTCGACCCGCGCCAGGAATCCTCCTGATCGGCTGCAGTACGTAAAGCCTGGTAAGCCTCTGTTGAAGAGCGTTCAGACCCTTTTACATGGGTTAAGTTCTGTCTTCTCCTTCGCTCTTCAAGACGATGAAGACGCGGGGACGGTGCCTTCACACCTCAGCCAGCCGGTCATTCGCTGCCAGCCTAGTCCATGTACGAGGACGTCCATGGGATTAGGGGGGGAGAGTGTAACAACATGAACTTCTGACCCCATTTCCGCCAATCCTTTTATTGTGGCGGGAATGAACCCTGTATAAGTTCTGGGTAAATCAGCTGCCTCTTCCCTGTTTACCTGGCTGCTGTTTTCCCTGTGGTTGGCGTACTTGTCAGATATTGACAGATTTTACACGGCATACTAGCTGACAGCGTGCAATAACCCGGCCGATTCATTCATTTATACACCACCTCACAATCGACTCAACGGTGAGTTTTTTGTTTGTTTTGTTTGGTCATAAATAATGAAAGTGCGGAGCCGCGGTCGCACATTCAGAATGCTGGTAAGCTAACGCTAGGCTAGTAACAGTAACTAAACCTACTAGTTGTATTCATCAAACCTTGTTGTTTATGTTTATTACACTTTGGCCGAACGTTAAATCGATGTATCAAGAGTTGAACGAGTGATTTGATTTTGGTAGTTTTGGTAGTTTGGTCCGTTTTGGTTACGTTTCTGATTAAATGCCAAAACGGCCGATGCGACCTTTGCATTGAGTTAAACTCCGTTTAGATAACTGAACTTGTTGCGCAACACCTGTGATTATGTGAGAAGAATATGTTTGATTAACTTATTAGCTTTATTGCTGATGTACTTTGATGGGACCCATGATGATGTTATTTCGTAATGGTATTTTGAATGATAATCATTATAAGAGATGATGATATGATTTGTTTGGTTATTGGTTCATTGATTGTTGTATAACATATGGCATCAATTATTTAATTGTTATTTAATCTATTATTTGATTTCTTTGTCATAGTAGTAGAACACTGTTTTATTTTCTTCTGTGAATGATCATTTATGTTTTTGACCTTGTTTAGGTCAGGTTTTTTTTCCCCCCGTGATCAGCCCTGATCAGCGCGGGATGGCGAGCCACCCGACCACCGCTGTATTGCGGTAGGATTTGCAAACCTTTGGACTAAAGATGGTTAACACATGACCTATCCCAGGCCCATGCACCTAAGTTGAACTCATACTGGACTAAACCTCATCCCACCTCCTTTTGGGATTTAATAAGCTGTTTTGTATGTCACCAAAATTTATTGTCTGTGTTGTATGTGGTTATAGTTTTTGTACATCTGACTATATATTTTTCATACCATGCATAATATATATATTTTGAGCTCTATTTTGGGTTCCTGTGTTTTATTCACACACTCAGGCTCCACAGTCGAAACTACTTCTGATAGTTCACTGTCTGTGAAGTTGCAGTCAGGACACCTGGTCCTTTAATGTGTTACACAGGACAGATACAGGCAGACCACGAGAGCAGCCATAACAGCGCTCATTTCAATAGATGAAGAGGGGATTACATGAGGAGAGTTTGGGGAGGGAGAAAAAGGCATTAACAGAGTTGCACCGGCAGGGTGTAGCTCTACTATGCAAAAAAAAAAAAAAAAAAAAAAACACCTCTACATATAAGCACGAACGTCAAAGTTCACAACATGAGACCCGGTAGGTAGGGGGGTTGGCTGGGACCCTTGTTTCCTCAGCGGGAGCAGCCTGTGTGGCGCTCGGCCAACTGAATCCACAGGTGGGTGGGAGGTCATGGGAAAGCACAGAGCACATTGAGTGCCTCCATCTTGATGACCTCGATGCAGAGACCACAATCTGAAGGCGGCGGTGGGGGGGGGGTTCACAGCATTTGTCTGCATTCCTTCCATAATGGGGGTTTTTGCACGCAACTCCAAGGCTGCTTATGGCGTCAGATTGGATAACAGGACTTTGTTTGGGTCAGGCAGAGATAATTTTCCTCTCTGCCTTAAAGTCTGTATTGATCATTCAAATCCTCCAGTGAAGCCAATTCGGTGATTAAACCTCCACACCGTCCGGTGACCCTCTCCGAGATGACATCCATTTTGCGCACTAACACCGGTAACGCAGCTAAGACATTGTCCAGCTTGCGATTCACCTCGAGTAACGTCCCAGTCTGTGAGGTCTCCACCCGGACGGTGTCGTCCATGGTTGCGGGTCACCCTCCAATCGCTCCTGTCATCCCAATTTTTCGGAAAACCAGATATCCTCCCACTCCAATCAGAAGAAATCCAGTGATCATCAGGCCAAATATCCACACATCTTCAACGTCCTCAATGGACAGCTGAGAGAGACAGATGACATTCCACTTCTTCCATTAATCGAGCATATATCCCGCTGCGTGTGTCCCGTGAGGGCAAGCGCGAGCCCCCTCCTCCATTCTCATCGTAGAAAAAATCTTATCAATCGCGTTGAATGACCAATTAATTAAATCCATTTCTGAAAAATAGTGATTTCCAGAGGAAATGCAGAGAAGCGCTCAATTAGGTTAAACTAGCTGTTTCCTTGATGCTAAACCAACAACAACCTTCCCTGTCCTGAGTCAAGATGGGCGAGTCCATGAATGTTTAGTGACAGTGTGACGTAGATCTGTCAGGCTTTTCAAATCCTAGAGTTTCACCATCTATTTTCTATCAGAAGCTAATGCAGGAGGTAGGTGTAGGAGACTATTTTCATGTTCAGCCTGCATGAAAAACTCAGAGTGACTGATTATAATCAGAAATAATCTTAAACTTTTTTTTTCAGTCAACCACACATTTAAACATTAAATAACTTCCTTTTGGATCTTGTCTGTATTCAACATGCCTTTTTTCGTTAGTCTTCAAAATACTAAAATTATATTTAACAGTTGAATTACAGTTACATTTTTTGCTTTGGGTAATCTGACTCTTAATGAGTGGTAAACACATTAAAACACTTTTCAAACAGACGTAGAAAACCTAAAAATTCTAATGTGGTTAGGTACTTTCATTTTTAAAGTAAGGAGCACATAATTCAAGCATCATAATTCATAACACTCCATACTTATATGTGATATTTCAGGCATTAAGAGCTGAAGTAATTAACTTGAGCTACCCAAGGGTAAAGGTGTTCACGGTGCATCTAAAGGCTTAGCCACTCAAACCAGGGCTAATAATGAAATCAGATACAGTCCCTGTGGTGGGTCGTGGCTCGTGTGAAACGCACACTTCCACAATTAAAAACACAACATCAAACGGTGAATTATCCTCCAGTAATTTACTCTTTAAGAGTTAACAGTGTTGCGTCTTTAAACAAATTAGTTAAAACATTGGAAAACATACATGTATGTTTTGTTTTATACAAGGTAATCCTTAAATAATCATTCTCACGGTAAACCAATAGTATTTAGATAATAAAGTCTTTCCAAGTGAACAGTTTTTTCTTGTCTTGCGTTAAAAAGAACACCGTAGTGAACATCAGCTTCGAAAAATAATAAGTTGGTCCCCTGACTTGATAATTGAAGAGATAATGAGAGAGAAGAGTAAAACGGAGCACCGAAGAATAGGAAAAGAAGAAAGTGTGTGCATGTTTGTGCGAACGTGTGTGTGTGTATGTGTGTGTGTGTGTGTGTGTGTGTGTGTGTGTGTGTGTGTGTGTGTGTGTGTGTGTGTGTAACAGAGAAAGCAAAAGAGTGCCCCATATTTTTTGTCATTGCCTCAGGCTATTCAGCACATTCACCCCCAGCACTGCAACCTACTTTGAGACCCCCTCCTCAAGAGGTGTCCAGTACTCCAACCCATTCTGCTTCTTGTTATTTTCTCTCATTTGCAGGTATTTGCTCTTGTGTTGTCTGTATTGACTGTGTCTATAAATTACTGCTAAATAAACCTGTAAACATGAAGGGAAGAGCAGATAAACAATTCATGAAGCAGGAAGCAGCATCAGCAACCCATGAATGTATGTGAAATCACCTTTTAACTGCATCACAATTACTTATTTCATGCCTATATGTGTGTTCTTTAATAATACAGTTGCTTGTGCTTGTGTTTCTTGTTTTTTTTTTCATGAAGTGTCTCATAAAAAAATTCACTGCACTCATGATTTTCCCCTCCCTCCTCTTTCCTGGGGTTGAACCTTTCTCACATGCATCTGTGCTGTAGATGAAATTAAATGGCACGGCATTAGGATGCAAATGAAATACCTTTAAAAAGCCTTCACACAACGACAGGAAGAGGAAAACCAAAAAGCATTTACAGTGTGAGTATGAAAGTTTTGCTTGACTGCCTTCATGATACTCAGAGTTATTTTCAAATTCTTCTGACAATATTTCTACTAAACCTAAAGTAATTTTAAATGGAGGTGTTTCCTGTAAATATTGACTCATTTGTGGTAATAATTCTTTGCTAAATTAAATTCAGCCGTGCACACTGATTCCTCCTGCTGCTGTGTTCTCTGGCTGAATTACAAAGCATTTAAGTCAGATGTGTTATGAAGTCATTTTCTACATGTATTGACTTTAATTGTGGGTGATATTTCTCAATTCTCTAAACGACCGTGCATCTGCCTACTTCTCCATTTGATTTCCTGTCTGGTGTTAACACATAGTTTCTCATGCAGATGTACAGATGAATATCTGTTAAACTGTGACAGAGATGAATACGTTTAATGGATTGTTAGCAATTGCGCAGTGCTTTTTTTTAGCATTTGCAATAAAAGAATGAGAATGATAACACGCTGATTTGAGATATGCATAAATGTGATTGTGTATTTTTAAACATTGGCTCTGCAGAATTTGAATGAGTTAAATCTTAATATGCATAGGTTAAAATGCTGAAATATCAGTAAAAGCTCTGTTAACAGCTTTATGCAAATAGAAAATACTATTTTTAGGGGTGCTCAATATTAACTTTTTTAGCGGTATCTGATATTGTCTAACTCTTAATTTCCAGTAGCGATATGAACCGAAACCAATGTGTGGTCCTTTCTAATAAAAAAATAATAGTAATAATTTAGGTTGCTAATATCACAAATCTGCTACCGTGAATGCTTAAGCTTTAAACATTATCCGTGCAAAACTGCAACTACTTCGATTCAAGTTGGTAATAGTAAAACAAATGTCATGTTTGATTTGTCTCCAACAGCAGCTGAATGACATTCTCCCTGAGAAAATCCTTATTAACGCTCTGTGACACCTTTAGGCCACAGATAATTATTAAGTTCATGATGGGAAAAAGCTTGATTAATACGTTCATTAATACTACATTTGAATTAATGATATAAAAGGTTAAGATGTTGTAGGTTTTAAGCGCAGATCAAAGTAAGCTATCACCATTGTAAACAGTCTTTGTTATTTGTCTGTGTGAAATGTGACAGTGAGTTCTCACTCCTCAGACCTATCACTATCCAATGTTTACATCTTACATTTAGGCAGAAACAAGAGAATAAATAGATCATGAATATGCTGATTTTGTTGTTGATGTTTGTATCTTGGAGAAAATTTGTCTTAGGTAAGTATCAATTTGTTTAGGGAACGTTTGGGCGTGGGTTAAAGTTACTTAGTTGATAAAATGTTAGCAGTGTGAAAAAGAAAAGAAAGAAAACGATCTTTTATTTAGTGCCTCTCAAGATAAAAATCACGAGGCGCTTCACAAAAACAAAAAATTTAAATTATTAAAAAGATTTAAAAAATTGATTAAAAAATGTTTAAAATGACAAAAAAAAAGAAAATTATGATCATAAAATGTGAGGAAAGGGAGAGAGAAGATGAATAGGAAAGAGGAAAATTAGTGGATCCCGGGAATGGCGGAGTTGGTAGAAAGAGCAGAATAAGGAGAGGGTGGTGATGAAGGTCACTCATAAACCAGCTTGAACAGGTGAGTTTTCAGCTGCTTTTAAAGGAGACCACTGAGTCCACTGATCTCAGGTTCAGGAGGAAAGAGTTCCAGAGTCTGGGGCCACAGCAGCAAATGATCATTGACATCAGGGACCTGCTGGAGGTGTAGGGACTGAGAAGAGATCTTGAAACAAACCCTGATATTGACTGGCAGCCAGTGCAGCTGTAAGCGTACACATGCTAAGCGAGGCTAATTGCTAAGTGTAATGCGTGTATTAGTAAGTATTTTTTCTGTTTCTGTATATTGTAGCTATGGTGATAAAATATTTATGAAGATCTTCATTTAAGAAAAACAAACCTTGGGTGAAGATTCTTGTGCTTGTTTTAGTTTGTTGCTAGCTGCTAGCAACACATAGCTGCTCTAAGGACAGCAGATCCTCTTAACCAGGACAGATTCCAAAGTTGTGCTGAATAAAACTAAAATATCTGAAAACACTAAGTGGAATGATTCGATCATTCCAAGAGTTTACATACACCAAGCATTCACTCAGATTAAATAGGCTGAGCATACACAGAGTTGTCATTCCCGGAAATATAATCGTAAACAATTTCCCTCACATTTTATTTTTCTCATTCTCTAGCTTTGCCCGTTGAGTTGCGTTTTCTCTCCCACTACGGACCACTTCTTTTTACCTCCCGCCGTGTTTTCAACTTGTCCTGAGCATTCGAATGGGTGTGTACATGGACGTCAATTGGAATGATGATCGAACAAAACCACCTCTTTCAGTGTCGGGTCAGAATAATCCCGATTGAACGTTTACAGAATTTTTGATTTGATAGGACATTCATTCCAATTCCTTGCGCCCATGTAAACGTAGCTAGTGTTTTTATGTGTTCATCCACATCCATCCTTCCACAGACACATTTGAGGACAGCACAAAATCTCTCTGTGTCACGATGAGGAGCAGGAGGTTTGGACCCAAGATGCAGAACCACCGAATGACTCGAAGCAGGAGAGGAGGTAAAAATAAAATCTTTTTTATTTAGGATGCAACTCAAAAAACTGGAATGGCGCAGGACTCTAAGCCTGAAACCAAAACTCAGAATAAGCAAAACCAAAAGCTCACTCAGGAGCAAGAAACTAGAGAGTCTCAAGAGGAAGGACAAAACAGCGTTGACAAAAACAATGGACCAACAAACACTGAGGGACAAGACAGGGTTTTTAACACGGAGGGGGAGCAATCAGGGGAACAGGTGGCAGGTGTGAGGAGTGAGGTCTGGAGGGAAGACAGGTGCATTTAATAAACTAAATGGGGAAAGAACTTAAGCAGAGGGGAAGATAAACCATAACCTATAAAACACTAAATAACTAAACCTAAAGACTAAGGACAAAGATAAACAACTAATGACTAGAGGGGTGAGGAGGACTAATAGCTGGTTCCCAAAGTCAGAGACTCTCTTGGTCAGCTTGCTTCCCACACCAAACCTTCCGTCAGGAATCTTGGTGTGACCTTTGATCCGGCTCTCACCCTGGATTCTCATGTCAGTTCTTTTGTTCGCTCTTCCTTCTTCCATCTCAGGAACATTGCTAAGCTGAGTCCCATTCTGTCCCGCTCTGAACTTGAGACAGTTATTCACACCTTCATCTCCTCACGCTTAGACTACTGTAACTCTCTTTTCACGTGTCTGAGCAGAACCTCCCTGAACCGTCTACAGGTGGTTCAGAATGCCTGTGCTCGGCTTCTGACCAAGTCCTCCAAACACACCCACATCACCCCGCTTCTCCTCCAGCTTCACTGGCTGCCAGTCAACTTCAGGGTTCATTTCAAGATCCTGGTTCTGGTCTATAGGGCCTTACATGGACAAGCACCATCTTACATTGGTGATCTTCTTAGTCCTTACACCCCAGCAGGTCCCTGAGGTCCAGTGATCAAAGCCTACTGGTTGTGCAGCACCAGGCTAAAGACCAAAGGAGACAGATCATCTGCTGCTGTGGCCCCCAGACTCTGGAACTCTCTCCCCCTGAGCCTGAGATCAGTGGACTCAGTGGTCTCCTTCAAAAAGCAGCTGAAGACTCACTTGTTCAAGCTGGCTTTTGTATGACCTGCTTCAACCCCTCTCTCTTTATTCTGCTCTCCCCACCCATTCCACCTTCCTCAGGATCCACTGATTTCCCTCTTTCCTGTTCACTCTCTCTTTTTCTTAACATTTTTTCTTTTAAATCGCAATTGCTTATTCTTGCTCATTTTAAATATATTTTTGAACATTTTCTAAGTGCTTTTTTATATTTTTACAATTTTTTATATTTTTTGTTTTTGTTTTTGTGAAGCGCCTCATGATTTTTATCTTGAGAGGCGCTATAGTAATTATATTTTCTTCTTCTTCTTCTTCTTCTTCTTCTTCTTCTAATACAAACCAATAAGAACTACACGGGAGTGACTTGGAGGAAACACGAGGGAAACGCAGAGGACGAACAGGAGGGGGCTGGGGACCAAGGGGACACAGAACATCACACTCTGAGGGCCAAAAATGGCCCCCAGGCCACATTTTGGACATGCCTGCTCTAAAGGATCTTATTTAGCACCTAGTTTCCACAAAAAAACATGAGTTAATGTTTTTCAGAGACAGACTGAAAAGGTTATTAGGTATAATGAAAAAGATGAATTTAGCAAATGTAGGAGTCTCTAATAAAATGCTAATAAAGCTTTTTAGAGAAAGAAAATAAATTCCTTTTACATCTAATAAGTAATATAAATTGAAAGCAATGAGAAAAGGCCTGATATTTTTCTGCCACACGTGGACACAAATTAAACATTTCCATTCATTCATCAATGTTTCTCTTAAGTAGACTGCACACAGAAGCATGATGGTCTAATTTTAAGAAACAAGCAACGCTGGGAAACAAATAAGCCTCGACAAGCAGAACAGATTCTGCCACAAATTTTGCAAGGCACCAACCTGCTCCTCAATCGAGAGCTTTTCCAGGATAATCTCAGCTGACCTTTTTATCTTTTCTTTTTATGAAAAAAGGAGTTCTGTAAGAGCAGTGCACTTCTTTAACAGTCAGGAGAAGCAATTAAAAGCTTGCCGAGAGTTAACGAACACCCAGTGGAGCAAATCGATGAGCAGCATCCTGCTTGAACTAATCACAGAAGTGAGGGCAAAGCCAGCCCGTCGACATGAAAAGTACAGGAAGCGTGACAGGGCTAATGGTTTGGAAAATGCAGCTGATAAATGAGGGAAAAGGGTTATTTACCTTGCTCCTGGACGCCGTGATAACTCCAATGTTTTACAGGAAGTCTAACATGTCTTTAAGAAGGGTCAGATAGATGGAGGAGTGTGTGTGCATATGTGTGTGTGTGTGTGTTGGGGTAGGGGTGGGGTCACGCCTGGAATGTCAGACTTTTTACTGTGAATTCATTGCAAACCATTGAAACACGTACTTGTGTTTTCAAGGTAAAACTCAATAATTGTGACAGCTGTTTCTGCAGATATTAAGCCCAACTGTCATTTAGACAAAATGGCTCAATACCATTTTCTCCAAATGCCTTCTGTGTAAATTACTGCTTAGAGCCTGTGAATCACCTCCCCCCCTCACTCCGAGCGAGTGGCATCATTTATCATTTTTGGAGGAACGAGGAAGCTAATGGAACCTTTTAGCAGTAAGAAACACGACCACTGAAGAATGTTCTCTTTGCATCAGGTCATTGTTTGATCCATGAAAGAAAATAGGACGGAGGACATGGGGGAAAAAGAAACAGAAGAGGAGGAAGAAAAAAGTCTTTGACTTCTATTGAAGACGGCAGTCTTGGCAAAACAGTAAACAATGCAGCTCTACATTTAGCTTGGAGACTTTGTGAAGCCGTCGCCATGGCAATCCCATTTTCCAGTCACATCTTTAATGAAAAGGTAATGAGAGAAACATAACAGTCCCAACTTCATTACCGGAGTAGGATTCGGTCATAAAAACTGAATCAGAGTGTCTGTCATTGGAAGGAGCAGCAAAAGGGCAGACTCTGGTCCATGAGCATGAGGAAACATGCCTGGTCAGCTGCTGATCAGATGGCAGGTGTCTTGTTTCAGAGTTCGATTTGTCTTTCCTTATGAAAGGAATCTCAACATGCTAATTCTGTAGCAGATGCGATGCACCGCATGTTACATGGATGCATAAGGATCCAGGAATGTCTCCGTCCTCGCATCTGCTTGACTTCCCTGCAGGGGCGGACCGGCGACACGGCAAAGACAAAGCCACACAAGGGAGGGAAAACTAAAGAGCGAGCTAACATGAGGAAAACACGGAGATTAGAGGCAGTTTTCAGAAAATGCAAGCTAGCTTTATTAACTTAAGCTGACATGAAATTGTCAAAAGGCCAAAGACAAATCCCACGAAGCAGCTAAAGATAAATAAATAAATACAAATCCAGGAAACTCCAACAAAAGCTTAAAGGAAACAAAAATGCACCATAAACATGCACGTCACTGGAAGCAAGGCCCTAGCAACATCAGGGAAATGATAACAGAGAAATCAGCCATTCATCTGTTTTCTATTCCAGTAAAATGTTTAGAAATATGACAAACAAGCACATTTTCTCTATGATGGTGGCCCAGTTTTGCTAATTTAAAGGGCTACTTTGCAACTTTTTTACATTTTTAAATAATTTTCCTGAACCAGTATGTGCTAAAATGACCCTTTACAGGATTAATGAGAGGCCACCCAGCCCCTGTTGCCTCCTGTGGCCAGAATATTGCACTTGCAACTTCAGAATGGTGGGCCGCTCTGCTGGGACTATGAAAAAATGGAGCAGACATACTTGGTGCTGCAGTCTGCTTCCAGCACATTTCCTGCATGTTTTAGATTCTGAACACAGCGGATTTGTTTGATTTAGTGATGAACCACTCTTGTAGACACTAATGAAGGTTGGGTAGACATTTCAGCTGTTAGGTTGAGGTGTTAACACTAGGAGGTGCAAAAAGCAACTCAAAACTGCCTAGTTCCCCGTTAAATGTACAAAAAGTGGAAAGAGGTGTCCTCTTTAAACCAAAAGTGCTTCTTTTTCCTGCTTTTTAATATAAACCTTAGTTACAACTTATGATAATGACGCTAAATATATCCCACATGCCAATGTTCTGAGTAATAAATAATCAAATGCCCAGAAAACAAATTGAAAATACAGTAATTCACTTCAAAATAAAAGGGGAAGCTACTAAAATAAGAACACATGAAGAACAAATAGAGAAATATAGATGGATTTAAAAAGCACAAGAACAAAACTAAGGCTGGACCACCACATAGATGAGCTCCCCAAAACGACGTGGTCAAGGAAGGTGCCATGGTCTCCTTCCTCCAGGTGAAGTACTTGTGGAGTCTCCTGCCAGGCCCCACTTTTAGACAAGACATTTTTGGGGGGTACTCAAAACCTTCAAGCATGTTAGGTTGGTAATTCAGCTTGATCATAAAAAAATGAGAAAGCTGAATGTATTTTAAAGTCTTGAGAGTGATTGTTGGATGGAGTAAGAGATGAACTAACAGACTGGGGATTTGTCAGGAATGAGGGCTATATATTGGTTCATAAATGTTAAAAGAAGTTGAGGTGTGAGGTTGATCCTTTAGTTTTGGTTGCTGGGTCAAGCCTTTAAGTGAGGAGCTTGGAGTAGAGCCATTGCATCAACTTGTGGTTCAGGCTTCTGACCAGGATGTCCTCTGGTTGTCTCTCCTGGGGGATTTTCCAGGGGCGCCCTACTGGGAGAAGATCCCAGGGTAGACCCAGAACGTATTGGGGTGGCTACATCTTCTCTGACACAGGAACACCTTGGGATTTCCCAGGGAAGCTGGAGAGTGTTTCCAAGCAGAGGGATATCTGGGCTTCCATCTCAGATTGTTACCTCCACAACTTTGCAAATGGTGGAAAATGGCTAAACGGATGGATTGTTTTACTGTAAAAGTGTTTACTTTTAATACAAGTGGTTGACATGCTCGCTCCCCTCCAATATGGGTGATGATGGGTGTCAAGGCCACGTAGGGTTGGACGGCTGAAACTGACAACAAACCAAGCAACGCTCGACGTGGTCCGAGATGTCACGACGCATCCCCGGCCAATAAGCAACCTGGCACAGGGCACCGAACGTGGCACATGCACTTTTACACCACCCTGGGATCACCACATTCCATTACTGTTTTGATCTTCCTGTTAAAAGGGAGTTTCCTCTCCACTGTGGCCACATGCTTGCTTAGTATGACGATTGCTGTAAAGTCTTTGACACAACAAGTCAGTGACTCGGTGCAATCTGCTGGGTTCCTTACATAGGAAACTTTTTACTAACTGGAATATTGAACTGAACTCACTGGTTCAGTTAGAATGTCTACTTTGTAAAGTGCCTGACGACTAATGTTGTGATTCAGCGCTGTATAAATAAACTGAACTGAAATATACACACCGACTAAGTGTTCATCATGTGTGTTTAAATGGATGCAAACTGTGGAAGGAGGAACCCTTCAGTAAGCGACACATGGTTCACCTCTCCATTCCCATAAGGTATATGCGTCCCATTTGAATCCCACGTCTCGCTGCAGCAGTTTACCTTGTCGTCCACACCTCATTATCATCATAACCTTCTGATCTGGACAATTTCTCGGCTGTAATGATGCTCGGAATTCTGAAAGCAATTTTAATCACGACCAGGGAGATCCAGCTGCCAGGTATCAAAGCCTTTGGCTGCTTTCTGCAGCACAGTCATGTCACACAAAGTCCACCGGCAGTCAGCCGGCCTCTTTCTCTCCTGCCTCCTCCCCCCACAGCCGTCAGAAATCTTCCATGCATAATTAGGTAGAGTCCAAGGAGAACAACAGAGATTTTACATTTAATTTTTGCAAAGACACAATTCTTAATGAGTTCAGGTGTCTTAACCAATGCAGTCTAAAACATCAGATTTTACGAAGCCACTCATGCATTTTATTCATACTCCGCTGAAATGTAAGCTCAACAATGTTTGCTGTTCTTCTTTTAACACGAGAAAACAAATGGTGGCGGTGTCAGTCATTAAAAAACTCAAAAGAATGATAGGAATGATGCCCTGGGCTACTACTCACATCTGAATACATTCAAGGATAATTGTGCACACTGGGTTTCTGTGCTCACAAAGGGCGCATTAACGCCAAGACAGAATGTACAGAGCAGCAGAGGGATCAGACTGTATGAATTCATTCTTTCCTCATTGTCCACTCAGACAAGAGGATCATTACTGGCCGGTTACAAGCTCTGGCAGCACCAGCCTTCATTATTCTGCAGCAGTCCGCACAGGTTTGACAAAGAGAAATTTGTCTTGTATTTGTTTATCTGGATGAGCAGAGTCTGGCGCGGCAACGCTGGCAGAGGCAGCAGCAGCAGACGGAGGTGGATGGACTCTCAAGTGCTCACACGCCTTTACCCTTTCCAGGTGTGCAGCTTGTTTTACCCCTCACAGAAACACTATAAAAATAAAACCATGTTCACTTATTTTAAAATTGTCTTTTAAATTCAAGATTTAAAAAAGATTTGAACACTGGTGTATTTTTATTGCACGCTGGAGGAGAGATGCAGGCGCTGACATAGATGTTCCTGTTTCCGTGTGTGTTTCTGCAAAATACCTCATCAAACACCAGAAGGATCTCAGTGAATCTCTTTGGAAATGATCATTAGACATACTTCTGTGACTCATTAACTTGTGGAATAAATCCCAGCTAATCAATAATCAATCACTTCAGCGTGAAAGGTGGTCAGCGGGAGGCTTTTCTTAAAAAGATGCAAGGCCTTTCACTTTTGAACTAATTATTCTAGAAGATCTTCAGAGGCCACAAAATAAGCTTGCATGAGTATAATATGTTGCAACACTTCTTTTTCAGGAGGACGGTGTGGACTTTGGCTTGTCCTTGGCCTCCCTGTGAACCAAATTCATCATGAGTCTGTAGCTGAGGAGATTAAAATCATGCAACAACGAGGCGCTGCAGGATCACACACATGAAAAAAAAAATGCCGGAGCTCCCTCATGTGCAACACTTATCTGAAGCTGTCCGACAGTTTTGCCAGCAGTCACTGTTGGTTAGATCTCACCATGCATTTCTGTCCAGCTTCACGTCGGGGCAACAAAAATAGTCCGTGTTGAGTCAGGCCTTTTTTTCTCCTCTCCTCCATGCCAGATTCAAAAGATACATTTGTTCCGTGTATCCCTGAGGCATTATCACACACAGTACATACAGGGAGTGCTGAGAGTGCTGCACTCTTGTCTTATTACAGACAGCAGGTGCAGATGGTTATAGGCAGGTGCTCTGTTGAAAAAAAAAATGGAGAAGGGGGGAAAACAAACATGCACCTGGTCCCTCTGTCGTAGCAGTCTGGGGTTGCTTTTGGTTTGATTCACTTTGTTTCTTTACCGGAGAGCATCAAGGATCAAGAACTTCTCATAAAGATTAATGCAGAAGATGGAGCTAACCTGACTAGCAAAGATAAGCTCACTTCTTCTGGATTCTGACCCGCCCCCTTCTAAATCTTTTTGGTTTCAGCCTGAATGGACAGGTAGTTCTTGCGGAAACCTCTATTATCACCGGCCACCCCTCACTTACAGCTCGTTTTATGGGATCTTCAAGGACCTAGCTGAGGAAATGAGTGTTAACTGTGTGTTTGTATTGTCACAGCTCACACAGATTTGCTTTATTCATGGACTCACTTCATCTGCCAGCCAAGCATTTAATAATTGAAGGAATTATCAGGCCAGTGGATCCAAAGCCCCTCAGAAATGTGTCATGCCCCTGAGCAAAGCCCGCAGAAAAGAGAGAGAGAAAGAGGGGCTTTGCTAATTTGTACAACTCCTTGCAAAACCCCTCAGTAAAGTTCCACCTACATGCAAAGTTGCAACACAGAAGCTGATGATGCCACAAATGGCAAGCTCTGACTGGCAGAATATCAATACCTCATAACAGCGGGAGCCCGTGCATGTCAGATAAATTTATGATTCCCTCCAAATACCGCTTTCCCATTTTTCCTCCACATCAGAATGGGTGTTTTTGATGTAGCTAGATTTCACCATGCAGTTTGGCTGGTGTCCCTTTTCACAAAGAATGTGACTGACGCAACATTAATCTCCAAACAAAGAGACTGGCACAACTACTCCACGCAATTTCAGGGCGATGAGGTGGCAACGTCAGTCTCAATTTCTCACTGCTCCTTCACAAGCTGCTCCACTTTCTTCAAATTCTCATTTAGACCAAACAAAACACTCCAGAAAGGAGGCGAAAAAGCGTCGTTTAAATCCGAAGCACACACTGGAGACCTCTTTTTTTTATCCCCCTTTTCTAAACATGGAGTCGTTGCAAAAAAAAAAAAAAATTAAATAAATAAATAAAATAAAAAAGAAACAACTTTTAAATTTGCCATAATAAGGTGTGACCTACATGGAAGAGAACCAAAGCCCAAACGCCAGCTCCGAGCGAGATGTTATGCGTGAATGTTAAGGAGGAGAGGGCTTCTCCTTCACAGACATAATTCTCTCCTGGTTGACACGCTGCACTTCCTCGGAGCATGGGTTAGAATACATACCGCATCCTTCAAGGCGAGAAGCATGCAATATTTATTTTACTGATGCACTGTTTGGTACTTTTAAAAAATGGTACCAACACCAGCCAGAGGTTGTAACATAATATAATCTCTCTGACGCTGACGTATGAAAAACATTCCTGAGCTGACATTCATGAATAATGGCAGCTGTTTGGAGAAGAGAAACTCCTAGGTCTATTTTCAAATAGGTTTCAGCTGCAGCGCTGCAAAACAACTGGCCTGCTGTTTAGGGTTTGGGGTGGGGGGGAGGTGGGGGGCCTGGAAATGCATCTTTCATGAGCACAAGAGACTGTATGTTTAAGAAAAACACATACAAACTACAGGAAGGAAGGAGGGAGAGGAGCAGGGGAAGATAATGACTTGACAACACACTTTTTGGTCATAAAAAACAAAAGTGAAAACACTGTGTTGCAGCAGGATTTCATCATGCATCAGAGAATGGAGAGGTGTCACCGTGTTCGTGATGTTTCAAAGCTGATTCCTCTCAGAGAGAACATATGGGGCATTGGTGAGGCAGATATTCACCATGTTCAGTGTGTCTGTGTCAACAAGCGACCAGGGTTCAGCGAGCGACCCCCAGGATGACTCCTGAAGGCACTCCAGACAGAGCTGAAGCTCAAGGATGATCAGTAGGAGATATGTAACTATCTGACTATAACTGCTGGTGCAGCTTCAGAAATGATTAAAAACTATTTTTTTCATTCCAGCATTTCAAACTGAAATGATGTTATTTTGAGAAATGTTGGATTTATCGCTGTTTTGTCCAGATTTGGCAACAGGGTTCACCAAACGTGCACACACACACACACACACACACACACACACACACACACACACACACACACACACACACACACACACACACACACACACACAC